TGTCCTTTGGACTCACTGTTGTGACCTCACCTGGAGTGTTCGTGAGCTCCACAAAGCTTGTGCCAACTTCAGTTACAGTTGTCATTTCTATAGCAAGTCAAGGAAAGAGTGCCCTTAGAAAAGAATTGTCATTTTGTGGATTTTCCCTACCCACTTGCTTTTAAAAAATATCAGCCCCTATTTCCCTTCCCCAGTTACTTCATCTAAGCATCAAGCAGAAGAATGGAATCCTTAACTATAATTCCAACATTCAAATAAGGTTTAATGTCAGCTCATAAATTGTGACTTAAGTGTCATGCTGGGTTTGGACATCCAGCAAAACTGTCCTCCCTGACTGGTTTAGCTAACTGGGTGACAACAGCTGCCAAATAGGAACAAATGAGCTGCATGCACTAAACGTCCAAGAACGTGCACAATTGCATACCTTCTGTTGATACATTCTCATTTTCTGGATTGTGAGTTTCATTTGTTAATGCTCCTGTCATAGAAAAACAAAGCACGGAGAAGGAAGAGCGGGTTAAACAGATGTAGATTCTCTCCCTACCTAAGTTTACATTTTAACTGATGGTTTAATGCCTTGAACAAATATCACTGATCCAGCTGAATTTATGCAGCCCCAGGGTGAACTGTTGGGTTTGTGGTGTTCTCTAAGTTTTCTTCTTTTCCTGCAGACGTTTCATTACCAAGCTAGGTAACATCGTCAGTGCATGGGGGAGTGGAGTTTGCTGACTCTTCAACCCCACATCAGTCTTCAAAGAAGTGGTTTGTTATTGCCTGCTTCCTAGGGATGAGCGGGAGGGACTGGCCCAAGGTCACCCAGCTGGCTTCATGCCTAAAGCAGGACTTGAACTCTCAGCCTCCTGGTTTCCAGCCTGCTGCCTTAACCACTACACCAAACTGGCTCTCTATCATTATCTAGCCTGGTAATGAAACGTCTGCAGGAAAGAGCCAAGCTCAGAGAACACCAAGTATCATATTAAATCATGAAAGTATTATATTAAATCACAATGTGAAATATGTCCTCTCCATATGTGGGAGTTGGACAGTTCCCCCATTCCCCTGTTGCCATGTGTAGATCCATATTCCAACTCAGCTGCTTTGGAGACCTTGGAGACTATCACAAACCTACAAAACCTATTTGGTAAGCAGAGATGTGGGGGAGAGACCAAAGGAATGCCAGGGGGAAAAAAAGAACCACCTCACATCAGATTTGCTTCTGTTTAAAATTAATTCTCCATCTCAAGAATCTTAACCCTTTGACTTTCAAAAAGTATGAAGCATCTGTCTAAATTATAGCACCATACTGCACTCCGGGGTCTACTACACGACAAAACTTCGTGCTCGTTTAAATTTAACAAGAAACAGATTTTGAAGGAGTGAAGCAGCATTCTGGGGAATGGCAATCAGCCCTTTTCCCTATCAGCTAATCCTTCTCTCAAAACACATCTTTAGGGAAGCAAAACAATCTAGGGAAGGAAAATAGATACCCCATTAGTACACAAATGCTGGCCTATCTAAGACTGGATATTGCCAGCTGTTTTGACCAGACTCACCTGCTGTACTCAGAAAGAATTCTGTTGTGGTTGGAGATCCTTCTGCGTCTTCTTCCTTCTGAACTATCAACGTTGGGCTTCCTGAAACTGAATCAAGATGGTGGCAGATTAATATCTTTTCTTTGTGTGATCCTCCAACTGTTTTTGTGTACATCTTCATCTCTTCTCCAAATTGCTCAGAGCAGGGCAACTTCCCATTTTATTCATACCACACCCTTGAGTAACAGATTGAGTTGAGATAAAAAGAAAAGAGGGGGCCACCAACCCCCCCAGTGGTCACCAAAGCGGAATGGGGAATCAATTTTTTTTTATTTGTAAGTTTTTTGTAAGTCTTCCAGAGTCCCCTGTTGTGGGGGAGATGGGTGGGGGAGAAATCCAACAAACAAACAAACAAACAAATAAATTAAATTAAATTAAATTAAATTAAATTAAATTAAATTAAATTAAATTAAATTAAATTAAATTAAATCAGATGACTGGAGGCAGCTGCTTCCAAGATAGTTCCCTCCCCAGTTGTCTTAGGTGACTTCTGCCGTAATGATTTACAGCATTTTCATAGAATCATCTACTCATCAGTGACGTGATATAAAGCCTGTCTGCATTACTGTTATCTGGGCATAACAATGGTTGGAAGATTCTAGAAGATGCTATAAATTGTTAGTGTGGATATGACCTGTGCGGAGCCCGAGAGATGGGTAGAGCAAGGCTTGCTAAGAGAAGGTTTTTTGAATGATCCTGCCAATTACCGGTGTCTCTTATAAATTTACAGTAAAACATGGCACCCAAACTGAAATTAGAGATATGAAAAACAACAATGAAAAACTCAGCTTAAACTCAACACCGCCTCAACCCAGAAAGCAAATGGAGACCACCAATGAACAGAGCTGTCGGTGGGAAAGTGAGAACCTGCTGCAAGGCACAGGAGAAGCTTTGAGTACTGAAAGGGACAAGGGGTACACTCCAGCTTGAACAGGAAGCATGGCTTAGGAAAAGATCTCCCATGGGTTGGAGAGAGTCCATGGTCCCATAGGCTCCACACCAATGCCAAAGAAATGCAAACTAAAAACAGAAAATGAGTACGTATAAACAAAGTTGGATGTCAACCTGGATTTGCAAATCTCAAATCTGCATTGGATCTGGAAATGAGGAAGTAATGGGTAGGGTTGCAGGAAGGATTCCAGATTCCTCCCACTTCCTCTTTCCAGTTTTCTGCCCACATACAATGTGAGCATTCCGCTGCCATTGATCGAGTTCAGTCCTTTTTTGAAGGTCCCATAAGGTTCTCTCCCCTCTCCCAAAGGTTTTAGAATCTGTACTTTTGCACATGTTGGGTTTCTCCACGATGTGGCTGTTACCTCCCGTTTGTGCATGAGTGAGCTATTCCACTACAGAGGTAATTGCATTTACACTCTGAACTCCAGAAGTAGAAAAAAGTATGATTATTTGATGTCAGGATGGCTATCCTTCCTTCACAACATGCCCCAAACTCCCATCTTCTTCTTGTCATCCTTTGTAGTAAGCTTATGATCCCAGTTGGCTACAGTTCCTTGCCTTTCTTCCTGCCAGCACTTTGCAAATATTTAAAAATAATTTCAAAACAGGCAATCTGGTTCTCAGCTTTGCAGCGCATGCAGGAAAAGATGTGAAATTGTCACAGTGGATTTTTAAAAAAAAAAATATTGAAAATGCTAGCATATGTTTTGACTTATTTAAAGAGAATTCATTTTCATCTCAAGGGTAAAATATTTCACAATATTTTCTTTACCTCGATTCTCCAGATGTCCTCCTTCCCACCTCCTTGTGGGTATTAAAGCAAGAAGAAAACAAGAGGTGATAAAAAAGGGGTTCCTGCATGGTTTTCTTTTCTTTTTCCTCTCTACATCTTGATTTATCTGGATGCATCTTTATAAATTACATATACCTCCATCAAAAATTGTCCCATACTGGCTGCAAATTACAATGACTGAGAACAAGGATAAATCAGCAGGTAATTTGCAGATCAATAAGAGTCTCTCTATAAATTTAACAAAAGCACAACAAAAAAGCCCAGCACTACAATTAAATAAAAAAGATCTGTTAGAATCTCTGATCTGCAAAATAGATGCACAGATATGGACTGAATTGCTGTAATAGTGCCAGTAAGCAAACACTCCAAATAAGATATGCAAAATTATACTATGGGATCTTTTTCTTACATTGTTGGGGGAATCATACTATGCTTAATATTTGTCATTCCTGCTAGGGTGCAGATAAAATGGCTTTGGAGTCTCTAACTGACCCTCGTACCACCCAGATGATCTTCCCAAATTCTAAGTTGTATGTTGCTAGATTCTCCCATAACTCCAAAAGATTCACATACATCAGATAGGATGAAAGATTGACAGTCATGGAGAACATAGATAAGCAAACCCATCACTGGCTACTATTGTGGAGTTGAGGGGACACACATATCTAGACCCATTTCAAAAGTAGCTAGCATCTTACCTTGTGCAACCACAGGAGCTGTGAGATGTGCAAGGGCAAAGAGGACAAAGACAATGAGCTGGAGGGGAAAAGAATTTTGAATCAACTATGAGGTATGTTTTAACTCTGCCCATCATTCCACCCTGAATCTCCCAAATCACCACCACATGATCAACCCAGAAAGAAATATCAACAAAGCTAACATGGGACAGTTATAAACCGAGTGCAGATCCCACCTAAATCATAGAGTGGACAATTGCCACACAGGATTCACTGGACATAATTTAGGGGAATCATAAATTTTAGTTTGTCCACATTCAGAATAGCAGTTGCCTGGATGCAAAATATTAATTATTTTAGAATGGTGGGAACACACAGCCTTGTACCACATCCTCAACAATTTCTGGGTTCAAAGCAAGTTACAGAATTTTGCTCAATATTACAAAAGCTTCCCAGATTTTCAAAATGGGCCCATATTCCATTAATGTGTCAGTCATTTTTAAAATTAGCATTTGAATTAAATAATATGCAGTCAATCTATTTTCTCAGTGCACATTTACAGATTCCAAGAGAGAGAATAGTTTAAATGAAAAAAATAATATCATGTATTTAGCATTTCTGTAATGAACCAGCAGAATCTAATTCTCATCAACCTCTCTATTTAAATGGCAGCCTTTTTAAAGCTATAATTAAACTGAATCAACTTCATCCTTTAAGCCAACAAATAAAAAACTCAGGGTGGCATTTCTTTTCTAATCATTTCTGAATGCTGAACAATGGGGCAACCCATCGATGAAAAAAGGATGAAATCTTTGAGAACTATGGTGTCTTAACAAAAACACATTAATCCTGAATTTCATGCAAAACTATAAATGAATAGGTTCACATAGATGAGAGAAAATGTTTTCCCTTGTAAGAATATAGCTAAGTTAATTCAAATATTCCCTTCCTCCATTTTCAGCATTGTGCTGGAGTGCCCCTAAACACAAACAAAACTTCTTAATGTCTGATCACACAAATCTGACATTTGGAAAGCAAATAATAGAACAGGGTTGGGGGCAGAACACTTGCACACTTACACTCCCACACCCACAAAATTCCTACCCTACATATTGCCTGGTGCTGTTTTAAGTGACCACCTTCGCAACCTAACGGGCGTTTCTGGTTCATTCAAAAGCTCTGACGAAGTTCAGAGTTCTGGGTAGATCCAAGTCTCCAGAGCTGGAAAAATACTGACATTTCCACCCAGCGGAACAGATCCTTCTTTCACTGTGACAGCTGAAGATATTGCAGCTTGCTGGAGAAAAACTCCCCAAAACATGAGCGCCATGGTGCCGCTGTCGGTAAAGGCAGTTTGGAGTTGTCAGCCAGCCAAAGTCTTCGACAAAAGACCGTTGGGGTTGACGGAAACCTAGCGTGGCCTCTCACTCCTGCATCATAAGACTGGATTGGTTTCCTAAACCTCTCCTACGGGATTCCTGCCAATCTACTGTAGTCCCCACATCACTGAAATTAACTATCCACTCCCTGACTTTTAGCTTTGTAACTGAGAAGGCAAATGGTTTTTCTCTCCTCTTGTGCGCCTTCTCGATTGCCTGCGCGCGCACACGTACACACACACGCAGAGCAGCTCTAAAGTTCTAAACTGCTCTAAACTCTGAAGCCTAAAGTTTTGGACATCTGCCGTTGCCACTGAACCATTATGTGCTCTACACCCATTATTAACTATAACACAAAGTCCTCAACTCTTGTATGGAAAAACTCCTTGCGAGCAAACCAAAGATGGAGTGAAAAAGGCATTACGGGGCCAACGAAGTTGGAAGGGTAATGCATCTCGCTGTGCTTCTCTGTCTGCCTTCTGGTTTACAACCCTGCTTTTCTGCTTAGTGCTGATCTTCCATTTCTTCCTGTGCCTTTCTCGGTAAGACATGTGGTTTTCATTCACTGCCACTACCCCCACCACTACCCCTCTCCCTTGGCCAGAGTCAGGTTCACCAACCCAAAGAGTTAATCCTCTGCAAGGAATTCCCCGGCTAACAAATTGTTCCAGAAGCAGGAAACCTGCTTGAAGTAAAGGGGCTGACAGTGTTAGAAAGGAAACTGGGAATAGGGATCACTCACCTTCATGGCTGCTGCTTCACAGCCCTGGGAATGTGGCACGTTGGGCATCTGGAAGGCAATGAAAGACTGCACCAGTAATTTCCTCCTCTTGCCACTTCCTGGCCCTGTAGAGCGGGTGTGTGAGTCACAAGGCACGTGCTCCTACATTTCTAAGTGTGTGGGGTATGTATATACAAAGACCAGCAGCATACATGCATGCAGCTTTCAGAATGCATCAGTGCACTGGGCGGAAATACAAGCGTTCTCTGTTCGGGACAATTCACAGTAACCAAATCTCAGGCTGTTCATCAGAGAAGAACAAAGGCCACCTGGTTTTTCTGCCCTCTTTCTCTGCATGGCTGAGTGAGTGGCAAAAGGTGACCTGGTTCTTCACAAACGTTGATTGGTACAAATGTTGGGCCCTGTGTTGCAGAGGAGGAACCTTTAAAAACTGTTTTCAAGGAACAGGTTTGCGGGGCAGCCAGGCCAGCAAGCTGACGATCAGATCGGCCAAGTGGAAATGATGACACTGACTCTTGACTTTTTCCAAAACGGCTATGGACAGCTTTGTTGGAAAGAAGACAGAAAATGTAATGTGAGAATGGCCACCCCAAAAGGCTAAGGTTTCACTGGCAGGTGTGTCCAGACTCACCGAAGGAGAGTTTTAACATCTTTTAATCAAGGGCATCCAAATTCTGGCCCCAGGGCCACAGAAGGGAAATAATGACCTGAACCATAGTTCATGAACATAAATTGAATTGAGTTTAGATTTGTTCTAGAAACCACCTATGCCCTTGTCCTGGCCACCATGGCCTTCAAACTGAAACAGGTGGTGCGTCCATTTTGCCTATCCCATTTGCAAGCTTTTTGCTACATTTATTTATTTATATTTCTTTTTACATTGATATAGGCCGCTCATCTCACTGTACAAGTGACTCTAGGGGGCGTGAAAACCAGACAGGGCCGGCCCTACCATGAGGCAAAGTGAAAATCTCCTCAGGCAGGAGATTTTAGATGACAGGAAAGGACAGCAGATTGCTGATTTCCTTCCCTTCGTTTGTTACTGTGTTTTTCCTGCTACAGGTGTGGAAAGATACTTGTGGGACTTTTCCTCTTTTTTTTTTTTCCGCTCACATCCCCAACGATTGGGCACTGTTCACCTTGATTTTGGCTGGCCTCAGAAATGGAGTCTGGCTACCGGAAACCAATACTGATTTTTTTTTTCATTCCTACAGACTCAGGGAAGGCCTCAAATGTTCCTTCGTTTTCTTCCTTCCTGGAAGTGGAGGAATTGCCTTAGTGGATGAAATATCTGAGTTAGTTGAAGTATAATATGGTTCCATTCATCATTCTGTTATGATAGGGCTTAGCACCACAAACCACCCATTTCAGCTTAGAATTATATGTGATCCAGGCTACTATGGCTTATTTAAAAGTTATGGTGCATGGTGGTCCACCTGGACAAGTATTGCCTATATGAGTGTTTCTCAACCTCAACAGCTTTAAGATGTATGGACTTCAATTCCCAGAATTCCCCAGCCAGCATGTCTGGCTGGGGAATTCAGGGTATTGAAGTCCACACATCTTAAAGTTGATAAGGTTAAGAAACACTGTCCTATATCAAGGGTGCACATCTTTGTTTGGCTTGAGGGCCACTCCATCACACAGGATGAGAAGGTCATGCACTGAAAGTGGGTGAGACCAAAAGCCAAAGAGGGCAGAGCAATTCTAAAACACGAATGTGAAAAAGAATAATGAAAGGGTGTTTCTGCCCTGCAAACCTAGAGTCTGCATCTAAATGCCATGGCTCTTAGCCACCAATACTGTATTCTTTTAAGTGCCTTTTGAAGCCATCTCATCGCTTGTGGCCATCACCACATCTAGCAGCAGCCAATGCCATTAATTCCTTGTGCGCTGTGGATGACAACCGTTTTTTATCTGTCCCAGATCTGCTGGTTGTATCAGATGTCGCAAATCGCACAGCTATTAGCAAATAATCAAAAGTGCTTCTACAGCAGAAAATTTAGGACGAATCCACAGCTGGATAATATCTTTACTAGGACAGCCTGCGTGTCACAAGAGCTTCCAAACTCTTCATCAGGTTGTTTGGTGCAAACAACAGGAGTGGAAAGTAAGGATTTTTTAATCCATCTTTTTAAAACAAAACAACACACACACCCCAAAAAACCCCCAACCCCTCCAACTTTCTGATGTATCTGTGAATAGCAAAACATCGATATTTATAGCTATCCGTGCAATTGTACAATTTCCATTGGGTGCATAGTAATGGATTAACAGGCCAAATGCATTCCTCACCTCAGCTGAATGTTTTAAAAGCAATTGTCATCCATTTCCAGCCCAAGACACTTCACACATCTCGCTGTGGCACTGCGCCCTCTGCTGATCTTTCAACCCGCAAGCAAATGTCATAATAAGCAAATAAACAGGGAAGAACATGTCGGCGTCTACAGACACTGGAAAGAAGCTGAAAAAGAGTTGTCTGAAGTGTTGAAAGAAAGCATGGTAAGATTGCTCCCGGATGGCTTTCATTAAGAGCTTGTGTGGCAAGATGGGTGATTCTTCTCCTTCTTTTAAAAAGGGAACTTTAGGGTTAGCAAGAGAAAACAATATAGTTTCTGGGGGAAAGGCAGGAATCTGAGATTAGATCTGGGTTTCCATATTGTACTACACTAGCATAAGCTTTCCATCTTCTGGCCTGGTGTGCTGCATAGACCCAGGCATTGTGACTGGTAAACTACTCTGTTTTTTGACAGTGTTGGGTGTAATCCCAACTAATCATGATTCAATAAACCTCAGTTAGACCATGGCTTAGCCAGATATCTGAAGCTAGCTAGTCTGTACATCTAAACCCTGCCACGGGATGTTGAACTTCAACTCAATGCTTCCCATCCTTGCTAGCATACTCATTAGACACGTTGGTTACGCATCATGGGAGCTAAACTCTACCTTAACTGAAGGTGGGGCAGATGTTGATCTAGAGTAGTACTGTTTACCCTTTTGGGTGGCACCTCACCAGGGATCACCTTGACAAACCATCCAACCCATTTTAGCCAAGCTACAGAGGGCTCTGCACATTGATTGCAGGGACCTCTAGACCAAGCAATCAGATTTCTGGAGGCAGAATCTCCAACATGCCTCTGTTAATATTCTGCTTGTAGACTTGTAAATTAGAGATATCCTAAACATTAAGACTCCTGGATTATTTTCATCACATTTGTGGTGGTGGGGAAATATGATCCTTCTCTTGCTTGGTCATTTCCCTTTGCGGGGACTGCCGTTACTGTGCATTTCTATGGTGATTCAGGTGCTGCTCAACAACTTCCAGGGCCGTAACTCCCAACTCATAACATAACACCTCCTGTCTGGGCTTACAACCCTGTTATCCACAAGGTTATTTGTTCAGCATATACTCAGGAGAATACTCCACTGCGTTGTCTCTTTCTACTTTAAATATTTCCGTCACGTGGCCAACTAGCTGCCCAGCTTGGCAGAAGTCCAGATTCTAATGAGCAGGGGGTAGAGTCAGCAGGCTGGCATTACACTAGATTGCCATGAGAGATTGTTGCAATTTGAAAAGCCATCTCTGGAGGCTATGATGGAATGGATGTGTTAAGTTCTCTGCAAAAGGTTCCTAATATGACATACAAGTCCTGGGCAGCACTCAAGTGTGCAAGTATAATCGATTTCATTTGTATTTGTACCAGAGCTATCATCTCTGGGCTACCACAAGCCAGAGATCTCCAAAGCTGACCAGGAGCTTTTTCTCTTCATCTCCTGCCATCTGGTGGCTATCCAGACTTTTGCAGTCTAGATCTGAGAGCTCTAATCTGTACATGAAGCCCCCCAAAAGGCTTTTGTGAGTTATGAAGATGATAATAGCATCAAGGAGAAATTCTCGAACAGATCATTTCACATACTGATTTCAAGTGAAGTCCCTGGTGTGACATGCCTCTCCCCTCTCCTCTCCCCTTAGCAATAAATCCAGTAAATCTTTCAGCTGTAACTTAGGCTTCACAAAGAAGACTCGGTCTTGGGTGATCTAGCTGTGGAACTCAATTGTGGGAGACTTTATTTTGCAGTAATGTAGCGAAAAGTCATTTGGAGTAGCACTTCACCGAATGTAGGAGCATTAAATTTTGAACGACAAGGATTTATGGACTCCTCAGCCTCCCTTCTCCCTTCACCGTGTCCAGTTCTAATGGCCATTTCATGAAATCCAGCAGCCTTCTCTCATCAGGCAGATGTGTGGACCTATTATTCCCACTGGTCTTGCTGGATGGGGGTGAGAGGATTTGTAGTTCCGCACACTTGAAGGACACCTGTTTGAGGAAGCTTAATTTCTTTTGAGTACCCTATTTCAGAAGGCTTATATTGCACCATGAGTTAGGGAAGGAAGACAATCCCTATTAAGACGCTTAAAATCTAAAAGACATCATACCAAAAGAAAAAGGATGGGAGAAAAGGGGGAACAAGAAAGCTTAGATACTAACTCTAACAAGCTAAATAATTTTGTATGATAATGTTCCATTGGATACCACTGAAGGAGAAAAGATGCATGAAAAGGAAGGAAGGAAGGAAGGAAGGAAGGAAGGAAGGAAGGAAGGAAGGAAGGGCATGCAAATCCTTAGATTTGCCTTAAGTAGCTCATTGAAATGCATCTCACTGATGTGCAAATCAGGAAATGGATTTTTAAATGTGTATCAGTATCAAGACTTCACTTTTGCCCATTAAATTAAAGGCTCTAAGGTCACCCATAACCGCTAACGGGATTGCCCTTAAAATAACCAGGACAAATGAAAATCACTCTTCTACTGAATCCTATCTCCTCTTCTACAATATATTTCAGGAGCATCTCCAGCCAGTGCAAGGACAACCTGTTCAGAATTAATCGATGCGCTGAGTGGCACTGAATTGAAGACCAAAAAATAAAATAAAATAAAATAATGCTTCAGATGTGGATTTCTGCTCCCTCCATCAGCCCCCACTGCAGGGGCTTGGCTAGATCATCTGTCCTTGTCTGAAAGTAGAACTTGCTCATCTTCATCAAGATGGCAGGGACCAGGGAAGAGGGCCTAGTCTGAGTGGGACAGCAGTTTAGTGGTAGTACCCTAAGAATGTTTATCCTAATGCAAGTAGGTTTCCTAGTTCAAAAGATGATGCAAAAACAGAAACAAGACTCTCTTGAATAGAACACAACTCCTAATAACTCGAATAGAATTGTGTCTTTTCCTTGATAGCAGTACACAACAGTATATGTTGTAGTTTGCTCTTGATACTTTCTGGAAGGGAAGGAGGGAGGGAGGAATAGATAGACCAGTGTTTCTCAATCTTGGCAACTTGAAGATGTGTGGACTTCAATTCCCAGAATTCCCCAGCCAGCCATGCTGGC